TTTAACATGTTATGTTTGAGGGACTGATCTATACCTAGATGGTAGTATCATTTTAACACCAAAATGTTGAACTCAGTCTATAATGCTTTGATCAACAACAATCTACAGTCCGGTAGAGCCACATTTGGGGCGTTCTTTCATATTTGATCAATTCCATTGATAGGTGCTTCATTAATTAAAAACAATCTTGTATGTAGATGTGTAATGTAGAAAATATTTTGTAAAGAAAGACTTGAAAATTTTTGGATTGCTGACATATCTGAAAGAAATTACTTATCTAATTATGGAAAGATAACAGATAATATAAAATAAAGTAATAGCAGTGAGGTTCTGTGCAAGGTGACACTGCTTTGTCTTTCAAACACAATTTGCAATACAACCTGTGCTCTGGGCACACATTGCAGATGCATCGCAGAAATATCCTGATCACCTCCTTAAGGGCCCACCTCTATGGGAAGGATTCATGTACACAATAGTGTATCAAAATAGTCTGAAATTTGATAATCTTCATGTTCTGATGTTTACAATCATTCATTTGAGCCAGTTTATCAATTTGGCATTAGCCAAATTATCTCCGTCAAAGCTTTTGCAATTGTTTTTGCAGAAAATCTTGCTACTCCAAGTATGTCTGTCATGGTTAAAAAAAAAGAACAACATCAGACTGGAGAGAAATGTAGTTAGATGGTAACACAGAGAGGGAAGAAAGTCAAAAAAGTAAAGCTGAGGGTAATGAACTACCAGAAGGCGGCATTGCAGACATCAAGGATAGCTACAAGTACCTTGGATCCTGAATGGGAACCATGAAGAGGCCACTTGGAAAGCCCCAAATACCTTCAGAGAGTAAGGCAAGTCCTGAGCAGTCTGCTGAATGGGAAGAACAAGTCCTGGCAGTCAACACGTAAGCCTTACCAGTTATCCTGCTGGGATAATAAGCCGGCAAAAGAGGAAGAGAGAACCCACTGACATCAAGACAAGAAAGTTCTTTACGATGCATAAAGGGTTTCACCCCAAGTCCAGCACCCTGAGACAATATGCTAAGCAAAAGGAAGGAGCCTGAGGACTAGTGACTGTCCAAACCACTATCCAGGATGAAGCAACAAACATTGATAAGTACATCAGGAAGATAGCCACAGCCAGTCATGTGCTTAGTGAATATCTCCGGCAGCATAAACTGAAGAATTAAGAGGAGGAAGATGGGCAGCATAATGGAAGGACAGACTCCTGCATGGTATGTTCCACAGGCAGCTAGAAGACGTGACTGACATGATTAAGATTAAATAATGTACCATGTTCTGATTCAGGGATTTCTGAAAAAAATCAAACGTACAGCTCTGCTATCACTTCCGACATAAATGAAGACAGAAAACTAAACAGCAGTGACGTTTGTAGGGTTACTGAAGTTGGACTAGCTGGTATATAATGATGTACTATGTGATCGCTAGCGACACAGCTATGTTAGCATAACATAAACACAGTGAAGCTGGAGGATGAACGCTAACTTTTTTCCACTCGATAAAAGTTAACGTGAGGGTTCCTGATGGTTAGGGAGAAATGCAATCGCATGGCAGGATGCTATAAATGGACCAAACTTCAGTCAGGAGAACTACTGAGATAATCCATCCACAATACGAGGTTAGTCATTAATTTACTGCTGCATGGGCTGGGCTGTAGTTACATCGTAAGGTTTTAAAAATTAAGCATTAAAATGAATAGTGGTAATAAAAACCAAGAGAGGCCAACAGTGATCTTTTTAGGGGCTTGTTCACATTAAATAGAACAAGATACAAAGCATGAAAACATGTTAAAACCACAACAGCCTTAATAAACGCAGAGCAGTTTAGGGTTCATACATTATACGGTTGCAGTACAGTTGTTATTATTGTCACTAGTCACATCCTGTTTATGACAGTTAAAATAAATAACATTCATATAAGAAATAAAATTGTCTCTGGTAAACTGTATATGGTGTTAAATAGGCCTGCTACTGTACTTTAATGTCGGTCATAAGGGCGGTGCTTTAAGAGCCATGTATTTTATGAGGTGGTAGTCATTGTGAAAAGTTTGAGAACCACTGAGCTAGATGAAGCTGGACTGAAAGACAGCGCAGTGGAACTAATCATGGCCACACAGGAACAAGCTCTAAGTACAAGATCGATAGAGGCTGAGGTCTAACCAAGTGTCTGTGTACAGGAACAGCTGTGCGGAGTACGGCATGGAAGTCCCGAAATTGGGACACACACCCCTGGGTGGTTGAGAATGACAGAGCGAAGATCCTGTGGGACTTCCAGATGCAGAAAAACTGCTCACGATCAACCAACCAGACAGAGAAGTGGTGGACAATCAGAGGAAGAAGGCAGCAGTAATAGATGTAGCTATACCAACTGACAGCAAAAAAGAAGACTGGACGTTTGAGAAAAACCAAGGGCTGAGAAAAGTGCTAAAGAAGGAGGGTGTGGAGGATGAAGGCAACAGTTGCCCCCGTAGTAACTGAGGGACCTGGGGCAGTGACCCCCACACTGGCCAGGTGATTCCAGCAGATCCCAGAAACAACACCTGAGGTCTCTGTCAAGAAGAGTACAGTCCTAGGAACAGCAAAGATACTGCACAGGAACCTGCAAGCTCCCAGGCATAAAGATATGTGTGTGTGTGTGTGTGTGTGTGTGTGTGTGTGTGTGTGTGTGTGTGTGTGTGTGTGTGTGTGTGTGTGTGTGTACATACATACCTGGGGTCATAAATGATGTCACAGAACTTTTACCCCACCAATATGCAAACTGGTGTGAAACACTATTAAAAGCTTTAACAGAAGTAGATTCATGGTAGGAAGTGTTTTGTATAATTGAGAATATAACAGACATACTTGTTACTAGTAATATGATCCCACTGCATCAGCCCAAGTTTAAGTCTAGTTAATATAAAATGAGCTAGTTCAAAATAAGCTAAGACGGACTATTTTGTTTAGCCATTTGTATTAAAATTTGATCTTCAGTTTAAATATATCTGTTATACTTGGTTGAATCATTCCATTTTTACAGGCTGGTCTTCTTCTGCCTAAAGTTGTGTATGAATTTAGAGGGTTAGCTTTTGTCCAGTGGCATGCAAAAATAATTGTTACTTTAAAAAAACCATACAGGTTGATTTTGGTGTTTTGTCTCTTTGGCACTGAGTGACTCGATAAAAACAGTGACTGCGTGGACCTTTTCTTTCCTCCGCATAGACACTGTCTGTTCTCAGATCACATTGTAAACATGCTTTTAGCATTCTCCTCAAGCGTGACACATTCTGCCATTTCTAAATAACAGATGCTTATACTGTACGACCCCAATTGAAAATATTTTGAAGGCAATAAAATATTTTGTAAGATTGGCGTTGTGATGTCACCTGAAGCTGTGTGTCCACTGGGAGGAATAGTTGACAACTGTGTTTTCTTGTGGTTGTTTTTGTTTTTGCTTTAAAAATGAAGCAGACAGTGCTGTTGCATGTTCTTGGCAGTGATGAAATTGTTGCGCGTTTAAACTTCGGAGCTCAAAGTAATTTAAAATGTATTTTAGCTTTTAATAAAATTGCACTAGATTCCTAGAAAGTTTTTAAGAGCTATAGCGTAACGATAGCCACGACCAGCACTTCCCACGAGCATCTCTATATAAATTAGGACAAAATCCTGGTGGACACATGGCCCTAATCCTCTACATAAAGCATCTGTAGAGAGCATGAATCAATTCATCTCCTGTAAGTATACAATTGCACTTGTAAGTGGACTGCAGAACAGTTCTCACTGCCATGTGACACAAGTGCCCTGCCAAAGCAGCTTCTGCACTTCTTTTTCTTCTAAAGAACCAATGTTTTATAAAAGTGGGGCAACCAGGGAGGGTTGAGGTTCCCCTTAATCTTTGAGTTACCTGCCCAATGAAGTGCTTTTGAATGTATTCCCCTTTAAAGTCGTGTTCCATGTGCAAACTGCCATGCATGCTATCGCTAAATATTGCTCTTCCGTTTCAAAACAGAAACAATTATATGGATAAATTCTTGTTACATTTGTTGTCCTGGTGCTTCGCTTTTCTTTGGCTTATTTTTCATTATGTGACTGTTCCCAAGTAGTCATTTTCCCCTCCCGCCATCTCTCCCCCTGTCAGCATGGTGAAGCCCATTGTAGACAGTATCCATGTCTATGAACACATATTGATGATGCTTTGTTGCTCAGCTGTGATTCTTCCCCTCTACTAACAGCATTCGGTTTCTCTCTGCAGCCACGGTGGGAAGATGGCCTCTCTGTAAAGCATATTGTTTTCTGTGCCTTGAGAGAATTAAGCGCGTGCTTGTGGCAGAAATCTGGGGGCTGCCTTGTCACATGTGCCTCTGTGAATGGGAGGGAAGTGATGAACAGCTGCGAAAAATGTACTTCACGCCAAGGAAACATTTGTATCTGTTATTTTCAGAGAGAAATGCCTTACTAATTAGAGTAAACATTCAAATCTGCAGACTTATGAATTGGAAAGAGCATTTAGTAATCTTCATTTTGGAAACAGTTCCTCTGAAACCAACAGTGCAAGTCTTTTTAAGTGGAACTTTTCTCACTGACCTAATCTAGCCAATGGGATCAATAGATAGCTTCAGGAGTTGTGAAATACTCTGTTTTTCTTTGGATGAAAATTGTTTGGATCAATTTGAGCAAAATATCTTCAATGCCCCAGAAATTTCAAGGTGCATAATACTTAATGAAATCTGGATTTTATTTAGTGAAAAAATTTCATAGTAAATCCAGATGATGTATAAGGTTATAGTAGTCATAATCACATGGTTTTCTTATTGCAAAGCTTGGGTAAGCCTCAATAGGTGTCTCACATTGATCCTTTGGCAATGTGCTGCACCTCTTGCTTAGCACGAGCAGTGCTGTTCTGAGATTGTGTGGGTTGTGTTGCGCTCCGTAGTGCAGAAATACAGTTCACTGACCACGTTTAGCCTGGAGTTACCCCTTTTTTCCTCTTTCTCTCTTCTTTATTCAGAAAACGTCGAGGTGCGCAGAGTGCCCTTTCAGGGTCTGAGAGGATCGATGCACTGAGATACCAACGTATTAAAAAGGCCAAGAAGATGACTATGAACAACAATAACTCCAAGACCAGAAAGAAAGCAGGTGTGAACCACCATTAAATATTTGTTCTCATTTTCTCCACTGTTGAGGTCTCTATAGTGAAATGACCTGCTGCCATTTTCAGAAGATTGTCAAGCATGGCATTTTGAAGCTCATCACCAGCTGGCATTTGGTCAGGAGCCTTTCCTGTCACATTCCAGCATCATTTTAATGTGCAGGGCAGTGCGTTAGAATACCACCTTAAAGGAGAAAGTGTAACACCCCCCCTCCAAAAATCATGAAACATTACCCCAGACAACACAAGGTCCTTAAAAATGAATTTTCTTCTTAAACTAAACTTGTAGACTTTTGACAAATGGAGGTGTTGGGAGTGTTTCCGAGTCCAAACACTCCCAAAAGCAAACAGTGAGGCATCACTGAAAACAAATTACATCCTGTTCCGTCAGATGTTGCAATCAAGATCTGCTTTTTATGAAAAGTGGGACTCAAGTGGTTGAGAAGTATGCTAGCTTATTGCTTGACCACTCGAGTTCCCTAAAAATTCAAATATTTTAACAAAAACAGAGTACAGCACAGTAATAGAGTTGAATGTTGAAGATGAAAATATATGCACCAAAAAGCCAACTGACATATCATAATTTACATTATATGGAAAAGAGTACTGGGACACCCACACATTAAACATGAGAGCTCTTTGCTTCTAGAAACTGCTGCAGTTTTTGTGCTGATGTTAATGCCAGAGGTTTGGAGTTACTGCACAGCAGAGAGTTGGTGACGTTTATGCAACAAGCTCAAAGTGTCATCTTAGGGAGCATTCTCATTGCTAGAGCCTCCTTAGCTTAGAATAGTGTAAGTCCAAACAGCATAGCATAAAATGCTTACACTGTAATAAAAAAAGGCAGGCTTTTGACCGTGTTATATGATCTGACTTAGCAGCACTTATGGCCTGGCATACGTTGTGCATGAACTTACAGGTTGTATATGGAGATATATTTTAGTTTTTAATGTTTAGTTTAAATGAGGTATAACAGATGCAGGTATAGTGGATTTTGTCGTCATTGTAAAAGTAAAAATCACTGTTTCCAGTTATTAAAATTAACTGACTGCCTGCTGGCTCAAGATTCATACTATATTACAGAAAAACTGGACTTGTGGGTGCTTCATGGAGTTGATCTACTCCTGCCCAGAAGCAAAGCATCATTTCAGGGAAAGTGTCGGAACAGCATTTCCACCTTGAGTTCTGGTGGCTATGACCTGGCTGTTCGTCTCTTTGCCTCCAGGTGTCTCCACCTCTCAGACCCAGCAGGCCTACACCTCTCAGGTACTCCAGCCCGAAGAAGCTCTCTACCTCCGCAAAAAGAAGAAACGGCCCATTCTCCATGACCCATATATTCGCTTTTCTGCTCTGCTTTACCGTCGTCCAATTCGGGAGGACCAGAAAGCTATTTTGGCTAGCATGGACAACACAGACCTAGACCATGCCACCCTCCTCTGAAAGTCACAGCTGTGCAATACAGCTCCCCTTTCCAAAATGACACTGCACTAGCTACGTCTCAGCTGAAAGAAAAAAGAATACTTTCACTAGAATTGTCGCAGTTTATTACCTACAAAGGGGAGTGGCACAAAATTTCAGCATTCAGATTTGGTTTATTCCACAGCTGCACCCCTTGGTCAGTTTAGTTTGCATTAGTAAGCATTCTGCTGTGTTCATGAATTAACCTTGACAAGTCTCAATTTCTTCAAAAAAAAGCAGATTAAGAGAATTATTATCAGAAGCCACACATATGTTTTTGTTTAAAAAAAAATCAGATTAATGCCATCTTTGATTGGAATTGTGGTTTTGAGGCATTTCCTCCCCCAAATTTTGGATTATTTGACGTCCTGCTTTGGAGACCCAAAGGCACAGCAATCTTCTGTTCTAACATCAAGTAGTATTCCATTTAAAAAAATGTTTAGAGCTCTAAAGATTTAAGTGATAACTGACACATTTGTCCAAAATTTTACTCCAGTGCAAAATCATTAACTAGAATAAATACAGCCAACCATTTTGCTGATTTTCGTAACGACTATTTTCCTACTCCAGTCTTCATATTCTTAATTTTAACATTCCCTCCAGCCTCGGGTCCTGTTTCTTGTGCTGAGCCAATCCTCTCTCCCCATCCTGCGGGTCTCCGTTTACAGCACCTTCTATAAGAACCTCTCTCCGCCAGCAGCATCTCTTATCTGCCGAGAAACTCGCCTCACAAATATGGGTGTTCTCACTTCCTACCAAGTATACCTCAGAGCACAGGACACGAGACCACACAACCACCTGGATCAGCCAGGACAACAAACTAGCCTTTTTACTCATCTTTTCATTATTGTTGCTTTTTTTATGTACCTGTTTTTATATTTGTTTCCAACTGAGCAAACACTGAACACATAGTTTTATCTGTTCAAGAAAGATTCACACCTTTACTCATCAGCTTTTTTCTGCTCTGTGCTGAATGAGCAGGAAAAGGGCTTGTGGTAAAAGGAAACAGAAACATTACCTTTAGCTTTACTGTACTCGGCCTAATCTTCACTCTGTGTAGTTTTTCACTGACAGATGGGAACCAAACAGGTCTCGTCTTCATTCCACATAATATTACAAAAAATCTGGCACCCTCAAATGTGGCTTTTTAATAACAAAAAATATTGTGATTTCTATTTAGTTTTTTATGAAGTTATACAGTTGCTCCAATTATTTTTAATTTTAATTTTAATTCCAGCTTTTTACATCTCAGAACGGTTTGCACTGGAGCAAAATCTTGTCCACGTCCTGTCTCTTCCTTTACATTTCACTTCTTCTACTTTAGTTAGCATAGAGGGCTGCAAATCCACTTCTGAAATTTATGCCAAAACAATTCAGTGAACAGAAAGAAACAACTTTAGGGATTTTGTGCCATTTCAGATACATATATATATATATATATATGAATGTATCATTTACGTGTATGTATATATATATATATATATATACATACACGTGTGTGTGTGTGTGTGTGTGTGTGTATACTTACAATTTTGCTTCATATTTATTTAGGAGGGCATAAAACACTGGCTTTATTTGGCCTTAATCTTTGCCTGTTTCATTTGTGTCAAACTTTATTTAATGTTTGTTTTTTATTTGTGTTTTTTATATCTGCTTCTTTTGTCCGGTTTCTATTTATGTGCTTGTCATTTGTTGAGACTCCATCTATGCTCCAAGAAAACGCTGTGTGGCACTGAAGGTCACACACAGTGAGCCGAATGTTTTTGCTGTATTTTCACAGATTGGTTCAAATATTGATTCCACAGATTGAGAAGTGTGTTTGACATGTGATGGATTTGCTGGATGCTACGCAGCTACACGGTTCATTTTTTTAATGATTGGATGAGTAACAAAAGTGCCATAACATCAGAAACTCAGCTATATTACACAGTACACATGCTGCTTCTTGTTAAATGGTAAATGGCCTGCATTTGTATAGCGCTTTTCTAGTCCATAGGACCCCAAAGCGCTTTACACTACATTCAGTCATTCACCCATTCACACACTGGCAATGGCAAGCTACATTGTAGCCACAGCTGCCCTGGGGCGCACTGACAGAGGCGAGGCTGCCGGACACAGGCGCCACCAGGCCCTCTGACCACCACCAGTAGGCAAACATGGGGTTAGTATCTTGCCCAAGGATATTTGACATGCAGTCAGGATGCAGCCTGGGATCGAACCACCGACCTTCTGATTAGTGGCTGACCTGCTCTGCCACCTGAGCTACAGCCACCCTTGTTACATTATGGAATCCGCAGATGAGGGGTGTGTACGTTAAAACAACAACAAAAAAATCCAATCAAGCTTTTGTCGTGTGTGGATTTTTATCAATAGAAGGTGTATTCACTTGTAGGTGTCATGGTGACATGTTGCAATATGAGAACAATGGAGGTTGATTAATATGACAGTGGTGATGTGCATCTTAATCTATTTATTTCTTTATTTCTTGTGATTTTGAGCTGCTAATCCCAGCAGTCTTCTAAAATCAGACATTTTTTCAGTGACTACATTTACTTGCTTGTATAAGATATTTCCACAATAAATGCTTTCATAAAGAGCAATTTTAGATAGGCCTTCTGTAATGCAGGAGCAATTCTGGAATAGATGTGATTCTTTTTTTCATTTAGATCTATGTAATAAAACGGCTGCTGTAACTAAATCTTCTGAGTGCGTTTGTAATACATGAATAAACAAGCTAAAAGAAAAGAAAACATATAACAGAAGAGTCCTGACTTGACAGACGTTATACAAAAAAGAAAAAAGTAGAGAAGCTCCAGATAATGCACTTATTGTGGAAATAACTATGTTAATTCATACAACTTTAACCACATTTTCCACTTCCAAAGCCCAATAATAAGAGTTTTAGTCAGAATAACTTGGCTTCACACCTCCTATAGAAATTACTGGTAACATTTTGTTAACAAGACCCACTCCAATCTGTAAATTCTGTGCTGCATTTAGGGACAAGGTCAACAAAAGTGGAAATCCTGAATGTTGTTTTTTATATTCTTTATAAAGTACAAAGGGGGCCCACCACACACAGGGACTCATCTGCATGTCACATATTCTTTTTGTCGCTGGTAGTAAGTTGCCAGCGGTCATTCCAGACTTAGGTAGTAACCTTCTAATGAGTTTAGCATGCCTTCAGTCGATCACTGGTATCCTCCACACTCATTGGCAGATGCTTCAGTGTCTCATCTTGAAGCTGCAAAATGTTTAACGTGGGTCCCGCCCACTTCATGTCTTGCTGAATGTTACTGGTTTTCTGTGGTGACTGGTTGCCACATCGTTGCTAGTTGCTACACGTCTGGATGCCCCTTAAGGCACGATCTTAAGGCTAAATAGCTATCTCCTCATATCTCCTCAGAGGTGATGTAGTAGTGATGGCAAACAGAAGTTCGTGAGATGCTGGGGAAACCATGAGTGATGCATCCATAAATGACTGCAAATACCACTTCCATTTCCAAAATGTGAGCAGGCTTTTGGTGCGAGTGGTGATTGGTTTCAGAATCCTGTTGAAAGAAGAACAGGGAAGTCTTCTTCCATGAAGCCCCTGTCTGAGGCATCGCAAGATTTGAAAAGCTGTATTTTGACAACAATTCAAAGGTTTAATTTGCTTTGTGCCTGTTAAATACACCACAGTTTATTTCATTTCAGCAGACCTTGGTGTGTGTGTGTGTGTCTCTCGGTGAGGGGAGGAAATATGGTGCTGTGGCAGTTTGTAGGCTGAAACAGAGAGGACTGAAACTGATTGCATGTAACACAGTGGATGAAGACCCAAGATGAATGCATAAAAAAGTAGCTATAATATCCTCAAAATTTGATATAGATTATTACAATTATATTTACAGTTCTAAGAAGAAACAAATGAATTAGGAGTAAAATAAATTTGTGATTGACTAAAATTGGCTTTTAAAATAATGGAATAGATTTTAGAATAGTCTTGCAGCTTCCTTTAAAGAGTTTATATCAAGGATTTAAAGGCACTTAATTTATCCAACAGGGGGCATCCTGCAACTTTCCTGTTTGCTTCACAACTTTGAAATGTCACAAATAATAAGTTAACAACCAGCTGATCCGAGCAAAGTCGGACAGAGCGTAAATCTGTAATCTGTGACTTATTGTGACTGTATAACAGATTATTTGTAATCTGTCATATTATCTCAGTAAGGACTCATAATTAACTACATATGACAAATGTTTGGAAAATCTGTTTACATTTCATATGTCTGAAAAAAGAAAACAGTCGGCTGATTTATTGAAATTTTAAAACACTTTTAAACAAATATCAATAACTGCCTTAAAAATCCTATATCAGTCGGGCTCTAGTTTAAATGCTTTTTAAGTTAAGCATTATTAATTAATGATCATTAATTAGTTAACTAATGCTATTAGGAGAATGTGAATTAACAGCCACTTTGACTTTATTTATAAAATGTTTATCTACAGTGTTTAATTTGCTGAAGTTAAACTAGGGATGGACTGTACTGGGCAATACCAGTTTGTAACCTGTATTTAAGCAGGCAACTGCTTAAAAATACCTTCAGAATAGAATAGAATAGAATAGCCCTTTATTGTTATTAGTATTAGTGACAGAGACCTCCAGAAGGAAAACCTCTTGAAGAACTGCAGATAGGACTAAAATGAAATATCAGGGTTTAAAAGATCAGCAGCATACATCCATAAACATTTCAGCATACTGTCCCCTAGGAGTCAAATATTTAATTAGATTCTGCAGAGGGTAATTTTAAAAAAGCACCTTTAAAACAAAACTGAGTTAATGTGATTGCTATCTTGTAATGTACATACTATACTGACATGTACCAGTATACTTAAATCTCTTAATGAATTATTTCTAAAATACATATATCTGAAAGCTCACTTTGCTAATTAACTAAATAGTCAACATATTGTTCTATGTTGTATTTATTTCACATCTGAAAAGAATTTTAAGTGAGCTAATGTATACAGAGGTTTCTATATTGAAATTAATTAGTCTATATATTGTAAAATGTAAAACCAGAAATTGCATATTTTAGTAATATTTGTCGATATGCATGCATGAATGAGAGCAATTTATATGTTTTCCCAATTTATGTCCATATGGAAATACACTTTAAGTAGATATAGCCAGTGTATATTTTTCAGTTTGAGAGTCAAGTCTCCCAAAGCACACACAGCAGGGTCTACTCAGTCCTCTGTATCACTTCTATAGTGGCCTGAGAACTTGATGAATATCGAGCTCATATTTCACTGACTTTGCATCTCATCCCCTACCAGTCAACCAGATTTCCACCCAGAACTTGTGTTGGAACAATGACAGCTACTTATTCAGCATGGGCAGGTTTAATACAGACTCACAGCTCTGACATCGCTGTTGTCTCAGACTTAGAATTACATCCCACTTTTCATCCACTGATTGCATGTAGAACACGCATTTGTGTTGAGTGCATTTTTGGTTTTTGTCTTGAATAACACTCTTTCCAGACTTATTTGAATGTATCTGGTATCAGTAGGGAATGGCATAGTGGTGCAGCAGTTAGCAGTGTCACCTCAAAGAATCTAGTCTTGTGTTTGAATCCACCCTGGGGCCTTTCTGTGCAGAGGTTGGTTGTATGGTGTCTCCATGGGTTCTCTCTGTCTGTGTTAGACCTGTGACAGATTAGCAACCTGTCATTGGTGTGGTTGACATACTATACTGACATGTATACTCATCTGTGACAGGTGCAACAGGCTGCCTGTTCAAATACATGTAGATAAAGTCACAAGAACAGCTCTTTAGCTTAGCAACTGTAGTTGTACAACTGTGTGACTTTGCATCGTTTGATCACCAAAGGTTTTAATTAGACTTAGGTGAGTGAGGATAGCTGAGAAATCTTAAAATGACCGAGGGAAAGGTCATCTATCTTGACAAAAAATTACTGTTAGCCTCTTAACTTGTCCATGTAAATAGTGTGTATTGGCAGATATAGTCTGCATGGTATAAATGATTGAGTGATGCTGACAAAAACTGGGATTTGCAACAGTGGTCTTGGTTTTAAGATAGAAGCCACAATTAAAATCTTTAGCTGAACAATCAAAATCAAACTAACTGTAAAAAGCTGTTTACTTACTTTGGTGAATAATGCAACTCAGAGAGTGCAGCAGGCAAAAACATGTGCTGTGGGTTTGAGTAGTCAAGAGGATTTAAGACTTCAGAATTGTTTCTAGATGTCCTGCTAATTAGGACAGGTAGATGTACTACCTCGGTATGTCTTTGTAAGTGTGTGTTAGGCCATGTTACCTACATGTTACTAAGTCATGTTAGCTCTGTGGAGGTATATATTTAAAAAATCTGTATTTTTGCACATGGCCATCCCTACAGTTGTAATACACCGTTTCTCCATGACAAGCTGGAAGATTAAAACCTGCAACCACAATGTCAGAGCCAATATTATCATAGTTAACTAGATGTTAACAGTTAACCCTCTGCCTTTAAACACACTAGCTAGTTCGCAGCTTTGCTAACATAGATAAATCTACAATTATTACAAAGTAATTGTAAAAACTCTAGACATCAGAGATTAGCCAATATTACTTATCAATCCAACAGCAAGAAGGCGAGCTAAGTATCTGCCTGCAACCTTTCAGACTTTCCAACATTTATTATTTTTCAGTCTCTTACTCTCTCTCTTTTCCCTTCTATAAATGTCATGTTCTTTCACATTGCTGCTGCCATTGTTTCCATATTGAGAATACAAAGGTAGTTTTGTCCTCTAGCTAGGTGAAGACCCATTGGTGGTAGTGTGTTACATTATGTTATAAAGCATTACGCGACTTTCCCAGGACAGTTATGAGAGTCTGAAGCAGTTATTTTAAGGTGCAAAAGTTGCCTGACTGTTGCATCCAGAATACATATATGCAG